TCCTGCCTCACTAGAATTAGGTCTAAGTACCACGCTAGTGATAATTTTTAGGTCAGGTCAGGGGATCTTTCTATAGCACCTTTATGATAAGCACTATAGCTACAAAATATAGAAGTCAGGCAATAAAGTGTAATCCCTACTTTCAAGGAACCAATAGGCTAGACAAGAAAACAGATGTCTCTGAGAGTCAAGTGATTGCTTTAGGCTGTTTTTTTAAGTTTTATATTTGTGAGCCTACTCCGATGACAAAATATCTACTCAGATGCATTTTTTTTCCCTACTGCCTTCTGACCCTGATGTCCTCCTAATCTTTGGTTTGTTAGCTTGAGACATCCAATTATGCTTACCAACTTGAATTTCTTCCCTTTCCAGAGGAAGTCTGCACCTTGATTATCACGGAAGCATTTCCTGAAGACTCTGGGGAGTTCAAGTGCATTGCAGAAAATGAGGCTGGGACTGCAGTGTCAGCAGCAAAACTCTTTGTTTCTGCAGGTGATTACTCTTCAAACCGCCATACTTCAACTCAGCCCTGAGCTGAGAGGAAAAGTCTCTATTTTTAATCTGATTAATTATATTTTTCAGAAGGAAAAGAAGTAGAGGAACCAAAGAGTTCTCCAAACTTACCCATGAGAAAATTTTCCCCACAACTTGCTACCTTTCCCTGGAGAAGTGAAAGCTACATGAAGGACAAAAGTACAGACCAAGCTTCCATAAACCTTATAACAACTATTCTTGAACCAGGCAGCTACAAAGAATATAAGATTCAGGTTCCAGAAAAGGATTTCTGCACCATCAGTGGAAATTCCTCTGAATTACAACCACAATGGTAAGGGTAGACAGAACTGACTTTCACTCACTCAACAAACAATCATTGTTCTGTAGACAGAAACAAGGCTCCCTCAGGGAACTTGCACTCTGAGATAAGTCACTTTAACTTTGTCAGTCCTCCCTTGATATTCAGTCAACCTTTCACCATGGCTGAAATAAGAAGTTTCGTGCTTATGTGCACACTTACCGTCTGTTAGAGACTTGTTGAAAACAATTATTAATGCTGAAATGACACAAGTGATTGAAGAAAAAGAATCTTTTCCCAGTGTCCTATCTCAGTACAAATATGTAAAACATTTTGTGGCATGGGTTTCTTCAGGTTCAGACTTAGCATAAAGACAGAGTTGACCTTGTGTTTAGAGAACAAATTTTTAAAAATTAAAAGATAAGTCAGTAAGTGAATTTGCCAACTAGGTTATTTTATAACAGCACAGTATATCACACTCACCATTCCATTTAAAAAAAAAAAACCTAAGCTGGGCTTGGTGGTACATGCCTATAATTCCAGCTACTTGGGAGGAAGAGTAGGAGGATCATGGTTTGAGGTCATCCTGGGGAAAAAGTGGGAGATCCTATCTGAAAAAAAATTAAAATCAAAAAGGACTTGAGGTGTGGCTCAAGTGGGAGAACAAGGGCAAGTCCTGTACTGCCACACACACACACACACACACACACAAACCTTCATGCTCAAATCATTTAATTTTTTTTATTTTCACAATATCTAAAATATTCCACTAAATATACCTTTATGTTAACTTTAGGTTAAACACCTTTAATAAAATGTAATAACTCAGCATATTTGACTACTTAGCTAGCATAACTAAATGTAACTTCTGTTAGCCAGCAAATGAAAAGATACTGGAGTCCATTTTAAGAAGAGATTTCTTGGGTAGTATTTAGGTCTATGAAATGACAGAACACCATGTTAGAGATGGAAGAAATCAGAGGCTATCTACTTCAAGTTTCTTGTTCTATGAATGACTCAAATAGTAGAGATTGGCCATATAGTTGAGGGCTGGCTCTTTTGTGCTTCCATGACCTCGGTGAACTCAGAGTCCAGAGTGCTCACCATTGCACCATGGAACCCACTTCCATGACCTTGGGGTAGATACTTCAAGTGTTTCTTGCAATGAAGGCAGTGAGGGGTTTGGATTTGGAGCCTAACAGACTTGGAACAATGAGTGTGATAAACATAGGAGGAACTCTATGAATAGTAGTTATTATTCATTAAGTATGCACTCACTGCATTGGTTTTTTGTTTGTTTTTTTAAGTCTGGAACAGTAAGTTTCCAGTAAGCACTTATGACTGCGATTTCTGGGTTGGTCTCCTATGACCTCTGTAGCTTCTAGACTCTTTAATTGTCCAAGGAGTGCATTTCCCTATGAATAAAGATTCCTCATGGGGTCCAGGAAGAATTGGACAATAAACAAGAGTGTAACTTACTCTACATGTATTAAGAACATTCTATATGTGTATCTGTTCCTGTGTTAGATTTGCTTTAGAAAATGATCAATATAACACCTTTTTTCATTTTTTCAATTAGCATATATTAATTGCACGAAATAATGGGTTTCATTACAGCATTTTCGTATGTGGCCAATACCAGTATCTAAAACTTTTCTCCATGATTATCTGGTCACTGCAGAACCTCAATAACCATAGCAAATTATGTGCAACTGAAATAAATAAAACTTTCTCCACTCCATAGCTCTTTCCTTTCCCATGTGACATTTTCCTTCTCAGTTGGTAGAGCAGAAATGACCTCTGACTTTAAAAGCAACACACAGAACCATTTTTTCTAGTCTATCTACCTTACATTGTTTTTAAAAGCTAACACCTATATATGAAGAGGATGAACGAGTGACAGTTAAATAGCTACCCTGTTACCACTGACACAGGACAAGGAATTTCCCCTGACCTACAGCAGGAAAGGTAGTGAGGCAGTAGGAGGTAACCACATTTTGTGAGGCATTAGAATGATTTCTTGGAGGCCCTTACTGATAATTTAGAGGAAAAAATGGAAAAGGTTGTCTTTGGGGCCAGATTGGAATACAGTTCACCTACCTGGCACCTTACCGATTCCTTGAGTCTTACGAGTCTATGATTTTTTTCTCAAATAAACAACTAACTCTATTAAAATGACCACATTTGTGAAACATAAAATACCATTCAAGAGTAAGCCAAACATTCAAAAGCAGAAAACCAGGTTCACAATAGAGTATTAGATCTTTAAATACAGATCCTTAACTGCTGAGAATGGTATTATGAAGGACCTCCCTACCTTTCCTAAATCATCCTTTGGTTCCCTTGTTACAAGAAGAGCTTTAGTCTTGATGAACATGGAACCCAGCACACGTAGCATGCTGTAACTCACTCTGTATCTTACAAACACCTAGAGATTAGAAGATGCAAAATTTGAAAGACAAAGAGTAACAGGAACTAAAAATTTTTCCCCAACTGAAGCACATCTAGAATCTACCCTAAGCAAAAATGGGGATTTAGCAGTTTGTCCTAGACAAATGTACTCAACTTTTAGTACTGAGAGACCTCAAACCTAATATCTCTCCTTCTTTATCCAAATCAAGCCCATTCTCAGGCAGAACCAAGTGTTGGTCACATATCCCACATTTCAAATGCTTAAAATAGTGTCTTATAGTAATTGCCGTAGGTGTTGGCGATTATTATTTTTATGTCTTACATTTTTAAAGTCTCTCTAAATTGGTTTTGTCTCTATTCATGGAATTTGAAATATTAGTGAACAGATGTGGGAAAATATTTGGGGAGATTCCTGAAATAAGACTTTTTAGACAACCATCTACTCATCAAATCTAGCATGGTTTTCCGACTGAGTAACGGCCATGGGCTCAAGCAGCAATTACCAAATTTTCTCTGAATACCAAAATGTGTACATCACATTTTCGGTTGTGAAGAATGTTTTTTTTTTTGAGACAGGGTCTCACTGTGTTGCCCAGGTTGGCCTCAAACTCCTGGGCTCAGATCCTCCCGCATCAACTTTACCATAGGCGCATACCACCGGGCCCAGCTGTTAGGAAGAATTTTACTTGGCTCATACATGTTCAGATATCTACTTGTGGGACTCTCATGTATCTAGTAATTAAAATGAGACTGGAGTACCTGTGAGGGAGGGGATTGAGGCCATTACATTCTATTTGGTTGACCTGATCCTTATGCCACCTATTTCATTCCTTCACTTTTGTTGATCTGAAGATTTCTTCTTCTGTAGTTATTTAACTTCCTGTTCAAAAAATGGAAACTTAATACCACAATGGTCTCCATGTTAAAACCAGAAAGGAAAGTATAATTGTTGGGAGTAAAGGTAGAGAAAGAAAGATCATTGAGAGCCCTGGTTGTATAGATTGCTTACTTTTTTCTTTTTCTTTTTCTCCCCCATGTTTTCCCACTCATAATACAGACCAGGCACAGGGCCTGGGCTGAGGTGTATATGGGATAAGTTTACTTTCCCTCCTCTTTCTCTACAATCAGTGTAAGAACACCACCTGTGGGAAGCACCAGGAGGGCTGGCTGTTTCTTACATGTTTCTAAACTCTTCTAGAATAAAAGTACTAGATCAAAGGCACCTATACCATACAGATTCAGAAAACCTGCTAAAGAAACCAAATTATGTTTTTCCACCTGCCTACCTTCCCTGTGACAAGTCACCAAGACCCTGTTTTCCTGCCTTTGCCTAGACACCTCCTCTTAGAACAAACTGCTTGAATCAGTCTCCACCCCCACTCTTATTAGGCAAGTGGAAGAAGTAAAAAAAGCTTTCCGTTTGGAACCCGCCCACCACAGGTCTTCTCACTGGAGGAGTCTTACTAGATAGAAAAACTCCTCTGGGACTATTTCCTTTTAGTCCTTGTCTCTTCAGCCGGAAGGATTCCAAGTTCCCATCACAATAAAGAAACCCAATTTGCTTTATACTTTTTCCCACTTCCCAATTTTCTGTTCTTCTTTCATATGAGCTTGTTAAACTCACAGTCGAAATTCATATCTAAATAAAGAGGCCTGAAAGAGAAGCTCATGTAATCCTACTCCTTAAATATCACAGAGACATCTGAGATATTGTTTAGATTGTGGACTCTTACTTTGACATGCCAGCATAGGTAGATGGACAGGCAAGCACATCAGATGTCACTGTTTGGCAGCTGATAAAAGTCAGTGGTGCTATAATACTAAGCAGAAAGCCACCAGATTACTGTGAGGGAAGGAGATGCCTCTTCCTCCCCTTCAGTAGTGGGTTGAGCCCAGCTGGCACCCTCTGGAGCTAAGGGTAAGTCCCTTCTTTATTCCTGCTATGGTTTGGGGTTTTGTTTTTGTTTTTTGTCCAAATCAGAGAGGTGTGTACAAAGGTGACCTTCAGGTAAAGTTTGACAGTCACAATATTATAATGGAGTTATACAAAGTTGTAAAGAGAAAGTGACCTGCTCATTTCAGTAAAACTGGCAGGCATTACACAAAGGACAGAGGGAAAAAAATTATTTCTATGGCATCATTTTTCCTCAAAAAGGGATATTTGACCTGACTGTAAGTGTGGTGTTGTCTTATGGTCTCAAAATGTCCTCTATTTGTCTTTTCTGCAAGTTTGTGCTATATTAAATATTTTTAAATACTTTAAGTGATATTTTTAATATAGGATACTGGATAGTATTTTATGTATAAAATTCTTGAAATTCACTTAACATTATTTGGAATAAAACAATACTGTCCTGCATGAATTTTGGAATAGAAACTACAAACACGAAAGAAGGTCTTTTGGGATTGCCTCTGTGAGCATCTGTATAAAATTTTATTGAGACATGAATAAAATGAAACTTGTAGAAGAGCAAATTTTCAAATGAGCTTTTAAAAGTATCAGAGGCTGATACCAAAATGTACAAGACAGTTGATCATCTGAAAATATATGAAAAAAAAAAACAGGAAACTATGGAAAATATCTACCGGGTATTTCTGAAACAGTTTATTCCTTGCTATTTGAAATGAATCTCAGCAATTTGTCTGCCAGAAAGGAAATTAGGAACCAAACTCTAGATTCAGTTCTGCAATGGAATAAAATAAACCCGTAACTACAAAATTGCTTGCCTTGAAGTAGAAGTCTTTATTTGAGGAGCTCTAACTAAGACCCTCCTTCTATTTTTTCCTCCCAAAAAATTTAAAAGCCTAATATAGTTCATTTCTATAACATACTCTGGTTGAATGCATTTGTGTTTATAAACTTAAAATTAGGGAATATATAACTTTAAAGTGCTTTTTTTCAATAGGACCTTTCTCTTGGCTAGTCTTTTAAGAAAGAACTTTTGTTCTTTCCCAAAATTGCTAATTTTAAATCAAAGCTACATGCACAATCTTAGGACGAAATTGTTTGGTCTGGAAAAAATTCATTAACAGTATTTTCCTCTAGATGATAGTAACTCCAATAACTATGACTTCGTTTCAATGATGATGAACAATTTGGTTAATTTTTCAGTTAAGTTTGATTTATCATTACATCAGTGTTGGTTTATGTGATGTGAAGCAGACTAAATATATTTTGAGTTAAGTTACCTGATATTTTGAATACACTATGATTGGCATTTAAATAATTTACAGGGCTGGTCTTTATGTATAATATCTATTTATAATCTTGCTTAGATTTGCCACACTAGTGGAAAAGCCAGCAGCAGATATAATCCTTCAAGGTTAATTTTAACAGCAAATGCAAAGGGAAAAATGGGGATCTGCTATAGGAAGGCAGGAGGTCCACCACAGAGCTGAGAAATGATATCTATCTTTCCTTAGTACAGACTAGCTCCACAGGTACCTTCTTGACATCTATACTGCCTATTTACTATTTTAAAAGAAAAAGTAAGAGGCGCTAAAATACTTTCAAAATTAGCCTAAAATCCATATTTAAATAGTAGAGACACTAAAAAGTAAAACTAATTAAGAGAACATCAAGACCAATAACTAGAAAGTATAATCTAAAAATAACAGAAAAGAATTAGGCATGGCTGTGGAATGCAGTCTGTACCGTGTGTTATACACACAGACAAGTACACCCAATCACTCCTTAATTATCATCCAGTTCAGTACTATGGTCAATTGAGAATCAAGTGGAGAAAAAGAGGCAGTGACTTGTAAGATTTTTAAAAATCCATTGAAAGTTGGCAACCATGAATTGTGTGTGTATGTTCAGACTATTCTGTGGAAATGAAAAGGGGACAAGTATACTGGGTCCCCAGGCTTACCAAGATGCTGCTCACCGGAGACTTGATATTCTCCTGATGGATATGAATTAGCTGGTGTATCAGAAGGCCTATTAATCTATTTTAATGACTAATGGGAAGAATTCAGTGAACAGAGGTTGACGTTATATATTGAGCTGCTATTAATTCTAAATCATTAAATGTCTTTGGTTAAGGAATCTGAGTGTCTTGGCAAAAGCTAATCATGAGACAAAAAAATCACACTGAGCATCATCAAAGAATTTATTTTCTTTTTTTTTTCAGTTTTTTTTTCATTTTTCTTTTATTATTCATATGTGCATACAAGGAAAGAATTTATTTTCAAAAAGGACCCTTGGAAAACTCAATTTTGTGCTCCTCTATCTTGAAGAAAGCCCCTACATATGCTTTCACCCAGGGTTAAGAAAATAACAATGAATTATTTTTACTTATTCTTCAGAAGAAAGTCACTTGTGCAAAGATGGAGATAAAGGATGGGAGGTCTAAAAGTCAGGGAAGTTCCATTTTAAGATGACCTTAAAGCACAGAAGTTTTTCTTCAAAAACATGTCAAATAAACTATCTGGCTTAAACAATGTTTTCTCTTTTTGAAGGAACAATATTCTTCAAGAGAAGCCAACTCCACCAAAGCCAGGAGCAGAGAATTCTCAAGATCTCAGCGAGGAGGGGCAGAGCAAGATTACCTCTGATTTCTTACAACCATCTGTAATTCCAGACTCTCGACCCCCCATTCAGGACCCTACCCTTCCAGAAACAGATCATCGTAGTAACAATTCACCTTCCTCTTCCACACACCAGCTCAGCATGTTTAATTACGAACGTCCAAAACACTTCATCCAATCCCAAAACCCATGTGGCTCCAGACTGCAGCCTCCTGGACCAGATGCTTCCAGCTTCTCTAGTCAGACCAAACAGTCTTCCCTTGTCATCCAGCCCCGCCGTTGCACAGAGCAAAAATTTTCTGCATCTTCAACAGTGACCTCTCACATCACCATGTCCTCCTCTGCTTACCCAGCTTCCCAGCCTGCTGGCTCCAACCCAGCGCAAAGGGTTACAGCCCCCTACAATCAGTCCCCAGCCAGCTTCCTCAGCTCTATATTACCATCCCAGCCTGATTACAATGGCAGTAAAATCCCTTCCACCGTGGACTCCAAGTAAGTGAGTTTTTACATACTGCATGAACAGCAAGCTTGTATCCATGGAGTTTTGGGGTATGCTGCATCCATGCCTTAATATGTAAAACGGCAATGTGACCTTATAGTCTCATTCTAAAATCCCCCTAGAACACATTGAGCCAGGGCAGTGGCAATAAGAGGTCATTTGACTCATTCCCCAGTATCCAGACTGAACTGAACTCAAATTACCTATTACCCCATAAAATGACTTACCTATTATTTTCCATTTTCAAAAAAAAAAAAAGATTTCTAATGTATTCAAGACCAGTGAACTTTCTAGGTCTTATCTAAGTTCCTTTTGTTGTAAATTTAGTTCCTCTGGTCTGAGCTCAGCTGAGATGAACACCTGTCTGCTCTTCCTCAGATAGGGTTTCCTCTCACATAAGCAAAGGCTATTAAGTTCCTTGTCAGTCTTTTCTTCCTATCCATTTTCCCTTTTAATCTTGAATATCCACTTAGCTAAAAGAATTTGACATTAACAATTTTTAATCTAGGACTGAGAAGTCACATGTATGACTATTCCTTACTGTGATCAGATGAAAGGCTTGAATAGATGAAGGTTATGACCTTAAGATTTCCTTTGGTAATTGAAACCGTAACTTTTTCAAATTTGTCTCGTGAGCTAAATCCAGAGAATACCCGCTGCCTTATGCAAGCTTGTATCCTTTCCATAGCCCAGAGTCTATCCTAGGAGAACTTGACATGCAGAAGGACACAGTGGATGTGCTTTTTTTAAAACATGAACTGAATACTTTGTGCTTATGCAAACTTAGGGCTATCAGTTTTCCTATTTCTTGGCTGGTGAGAATATCAGAGAATTAAATCAGAGGCATCTCAGAAATTACCTGGTGGAATGTGTCTTGTTGCAGGACTATTGACAAGCTCTTGCTAATTTCTCTCAGTCTTTTCTCAAGGCTAATTTTTTCTTGTGATTCTATTATTGGTGACAACTCTGGAATCCCAGTTGAGCAGACTACAGCAATTCAACTTGCAAAGAAATCTTCCCCTATTTTTAAAAATAAAAATCAGATAACCCAAAAATATGTTAGAGTTAGATAGATATTAGATTGAACCATTTGAAATGGTTGGTTGCCAACAGTTTTTGATCTGAAAAATGGCATTCTCATAGTCTTGACCTAATATTTTTAAAGGATGACTTTGAGAATTATTCTCTCTCTCTCTCCTCTCCCAAACTCCCACCAGAGATCTCTCTTGTTTACATTTACTTAGATGATCATTTTCCATCTAGCTTTCTATTATTTCCAAATATCTTATGAGTATTTTTAAATATCAAATAACTTTTTCTGACTATAATATTTTTCTTAGTAAAGTCTTTCAAACCTATTCCAATCCTGCTCAAAAAAGGCTATCAAACAATTATTCACAGAGCCTCAACCATGTACCTCACTCTGTAGAGACCTAAGAACAGAGAAGGAAAGGCAAAAATAGAGAATAAGAAAGAAATCCTGGGAGGTCCCCAAACCAGACATCAAAGACCCAGCTTTAGCTGTTCCAATTTCAGTGACCGCATATAACTCTTTTAATCTCCCCATAGCTACTTGATACCCATTCTGTATCCAGCTGTACAGGGTGGAAAGCTCTGACCCTTTGAACATTTGTGCACACTCCCTCATTGTTATGGTGGGCCCAAGTTGACCCTGTCTTCTAAAATAGTCTCTTCGATTCTGACCTAGAGAAGTTCAAAAACTTTATTTAACTCTTCATTGGTAGGAAGCCCTTAGGCAAATGTTTATTCAGTTTATTCAGCCCCACAATAGAAATTGAGAACTCTTTAAATCTAATTATTCCTCCCCAAAATCTTGCTATGTGACGTTGAGCAAATGCCTTACCTGCTGGGTGGTTCCATTTTTTTGATCTGAACCAAAATTCATGATTGAGATAATCAATGGTAGAAAAGAAAGACCTTGAAAGCAGTGTATAAGATTAGTTTATAGATCAGAGCAAGATCAAGTCCTAATACTTATGCCATTTAAGTAGAAAAATCATGGAAGTATCCTCTGAATAAAGTGACTGAGTTTACATATATATCAGTGATTCTCAGGTTTAGTTTTGATAATCCTTCAGGATTTCTAAGAGCACGAAATTCTGAAAACAGAACTGTCTAATTCTAATTCACTTAAACATGTGTGACTTTTATATAAGTTACAATTAAAAATTATAATAGGGCATTATTGTTTCAAACTCTGGAGGAATATGAAACTTCTAGAACCAAAAGAATTTTGCCACTTTGGCCCAGGAATTCAATCTTAGGGGTGGGGAAGGCTTACTATTTAAACATTTGGCTTGGCTATTTACTTTACTGAACAAATCTGACTTTAGTTAAGGATGCATATAGACAATTGTGAAAATCTGGAGATGTAAAATGTAAGGAGGAAACATAAATACCACCAACTTTCAATATAGTATGTCCTGAGTGCAATGGAAAACACTCATTCACTCAACTGAGAGCATCTCCTAAACTCATGCTGTTATGTTAGTAGGTATAAAACAGTACAATGATAATAAGATACTTTTTCCCTTCAGTATGTTTATAATCTAGATTGGGATTGCAAATCAAGTCCCCAAAGCCAGCAAAAGCGAAAACTCTGGCTCCACTTGGAGGTGCTGCCTTTCCACTCAGCTCATGATCTTTGAGAATAGTTGGACAGGAACATCATGTCATAGAACAGTCCACAGATGTCTCCTTGGAATAACTAGGGAACAGTTACTATGATCGTAGGAAAATACTCGTTAGTGCAGTGGCCAGTTTCCCCATATTAAATAGATTGACATAAACTAACCCTTGTGGGACTCTAAGTGAACAAACCAGGTAAAAACTCTACAAAACACTAAGAAAATTTTGAGCAACCCAGTGTATCTAAAAATAAAGGATTCCATAAATACTTGCTCTGCTCTCCACCAATGTCAACAGGGAAACATTTGGAGAGCTGAGGCCTTAGAAGAAAATTTAGGAGTAGAACTTGAAATAAAGACCTAAACTCATCAGATGTTTTCATTTTTTTTTTAACTAGTCCCTCTTTTTTTTTTTAGTTACATTTTTTTCCATCTTTCTCTAATTATCCCTTTCTTTCTCTAAAGTCACTTCAACAATGTTGATGAACGAAATGACCATTGCTTTAGAGGTTATTTGGTGCAATACTTGGATTTTCTAGAATATAAAAGTAATAGGAGCTGGAAATTAATCAGAGAAGTATAGACTGTAAACTGTAGATTTCACTCGAAGCAACAGAATAGTCACTAAACACCAATGGTGTGCAGGTAAATGTCTAACAATCAGTTTTAGAGGAAAGACCCATGATTTATGGTGTTTACCAACTTCCCAGTATAAATACTTCTGCCACAATCAATTTCAAAATATAATATGAGATCACAGGTAGCTGGGAAGAGATGCTAAAAATCAGCTCTCTCAAGCCCCTATAAGCCAGCCACAGCACACTACTGCTTAATATCCACCCATCAATCAAACTTAAGAAATTTACTTGTAAGATTGGAAGAACTCATAAGCTGCTATTAGCCAGACTTTCTCTCATCTTCTTTAGGGAAGCTCTTCAAGGAAGAACATCCTCCTTATGTCTAAATTCTTCTTTTTATCACTTAATTTTTATTTGCTAAGGGGAAAATAAGGCAGTAACTATTCTTATAAAATCCTTCTTAATTATTAATCAGGGAAATTGGTGTTATTTTTGTTGTTTGGTGGTACAGGGGTTTGAACTAAAGGCTTCGTGCTTGCTAGACAGGTGCTCTACCTCTTGAACCACTTTTCCAGTCTGCAATTTGTGTTTTTAACAACATGAGTAGTTCAAAGTGGATCTAAAGGTGACTTATAACATGAAGTCAATGCTATTTTTTAAAATTCTTTAAATCTTTTTCTTTTTTAAAGCTATCAACAGGCCTCAGTTGGCCAACCTGCAAATGCTATGCCATCCCAAACTGCAAATGCTAAGCCCACACCAAGGACTCCTGACCATGAGATACAAGGGTCAAAAGAAGCTTTGATTCAAGATTTGGAGAGAAAGCTGAAATCCAAGGATAGCCTTCTTCATAATGGAAATCAAGTGAGCAAGACTTCTATTTTATACAAAAGGCCAACTAAACTATAAAAATCTAATTTCAATAAGAAAATCTAGTTTCAATAGCTTAGTGGTAGAGCACTTGCCCAGCAAGCACAAGGCCCTGGGTTTGATTCCCAGCACCACAAGAAAGGACAAAAAAAACCTTATTTCTGTCTCCTGGATCCATATCCATATAAATGGCAAGGAATAGGATTACCTAAAAAGAAGAAGTCTTTCTGTGCTAGTCTGTGTTACTATGTGTGAAATGGTCTATTGTCTTTTAGTTAATAAAAGAATGAAGCTAATGAAAAATAAGTCTAAGTGATTTAATAAAAATTGCACTTCCTCTCATAAACATTGCCCTTCATAAAATATCAAATGGCCAAATAACCAATGGGAAATCGGTTATGTCAACTCGGCTTTATTGTGTACCTCCATGTATAATTTTGCTGGGTAAATAAGCATAGCTATAATTATTATGTGGTTTTTACTATGCTCATTATATTAGTCACTTGTCTTTGAAACAATACCATCTGCCTTTAATCCAAATGTATCTAGAATATCAGGTCACTGATCTCAACCAAATATTTATATTCATTTAATAAAAGTTATTTCTAAATGTGATAACATGCAGTACTACACTCAAGAATGGAGAATATCAGAATATCCAGAACAAGGAGGAAAAATTTCCCCTTACTTGGAGACCCTTTTTTAACGGCAACTATACTTGTCTTTCTTAGGAGCAAAGAAGAAATCCCAAGGGAGTCTTTGCTATAGATGAGAGGAGTGGTACAAATGAGGAAAGGGTGTAGGAGGGTGAATGTGATGGAAATATTATGTATCATGTATTAAAATGAAAAAATAAGACCTGTTGAAACTATTCCAGGAATGGGGGGAGGGGGATAAAGGAGAATGGCGGAGGGGGTGAATTCAGTTATGATGTATTGTAAGAACTTTGGTAAATGTCACAATTTACCCTCAGTAAAACAGTAATATAACAAAAAAGTTTTTAGTTTGAAAAAAGTTAAAAAAGGAAAACACTTTGAATGGAAGAAATAGCAACTATAATTGAGTAGATCGAACTCCATTTTGATGTTCTTACTGACAGTGGTGGTTTTAGGGTGTATCTGTTCAAAAGCCTTCTCTGTAAGTCTCATCGCTATCTTCCTTTGACTCTTCCTCAAAGCGGCTAACGTACGAGGAGAAGATGGCCCGCAGATTGCTAGGACCACAGAATGCAGCTGCTGTGTTTCACGCTCAGAATGATGAGCAAGACTCGCCACAGGTAAATTCAAAATCTCTGTCTCCCTGGAGCACCCACCTTTTCCTAGACTTGCCTCAGACTCCTGGGCTCAAGAGAGTCCTCTTATCCTTTGCAATTTGTAAATGTCTGCTTTTCTACACATTTACAACTAGCATTAAAAATAGAAGTTGATCCTCTCCATTCTCCTTTAGATACATCAATGCCATGATGGGTGATGGGTGGTTGATGTGTATGTGTAAAACTTTACACCATTTTCTGGTAGTGCTAATGCCTAGATATGAACTGTCACAAAGTCCAAACACTGGAAGGACATAGCATTACTTTTTATTTGGACATTTAGGGGTAAGGTCTAGGACTCTTTTCCTTATCTACTGGACAGAGAACTTGAGTAATTTATCTTTTTTGGGAGGGGTTAAGACTGGGGTTTGAACTCATAGCTTCACACTCACAAAGCAATGCCCTGTTACTTGAACTACACCTCTAGTCTATTTTGCTACAATATTTTTGGAGATGGTGGGGTCTCACGAACTATTTGCCTGAGCTGGCTTTAAACCATGATCTTCCTAATCTTAACCTCCCACATAGCTAGGATTATAGGCATGAGTCTCTGGCACCTGGCTGAGTTGTGAAATTTTAGGAGGATGGAAGTTAAAACTGTAAGTCCATTAAAACCTTTTTCATAAGCTGTTAATCACTTCAATGTTTGAAAATATTCTTGTGGTACTAACGAAACATCCAATTCCTTTTGTCATGTTCCTGTATCTAAAAATGCTCCTTATTAAAAAACCAAACTCTTATGAGTAATGGCTCTAAGAATAATGAAAGCATCTTTTCCATGAAGGGATTAGGTTTATGGAGAGCATAAAGTGAATCTCTCTGAGGTTGTGCCTGGCCAACTTGTGATTTTAAATCATAGTTAAAATCATAGTGGTAGAGTGCCCACCTTGCAAATGTATGGCCCTGAGTTCAAATCCCAGTTCCACCAAAAGAGTCACTTAATCGGAAGAGAAATGTACAGTTGGAGAAACAGACCAAAAAAAAAAGAGCATTAGTGCTCTTTTTGTCTTCCATATATCTGTTATTTCCTCCCAAACAGTCTACAAGAAACTGCGGGCCACAGGGATGAAACTGGGGACTCCAGAATCCCACACTTCTAGGTACAGAACACTGAAAATAAGATTTTAGTATCTGTTAAACACAATAGAGCTAGAATTAGATATTGGAGATAGAACTTAAATTTCTTTTGGTTACTGAACAGCTCATGCATTCATTCAACAAATTTACGTGGATCACCTACTCTGTGTTGGGCTTTCGACTTGGTACAGGAAGTAACAGTAAAAGCAGAACACAAACCCATGTCTATAAGTAGAAATCACTCAAAACAGTGTTATGTTTCTGGCAGTTGATTTAATTCTCAAATACACATAATTATCTGGTACTCAAATGTAAATCAAAAAAGATGTTTGCTTAAAGTCAATATACCTTTCTTAAATAGGAAGAAATTAATGGTGTTTTTCAGAGCCTTGTCGTAGTTCTACCCATATCTCTGATAGTGTCCAACAGGATTTTGTGTCATGAGCTAAAAAGAGAAGTATTTTCCAGTCTCATATGTGTTTACTGCTGCTGGTGACACTTTTGAGCAGTAGGCATAATTCCCCTGATATCTGCTACCAACACAAGTGACTTCATGTCTATTCCTGTCTCACTAAAGGACAATATGTACATGTGCTCCCATTTCAAATGCACCAGAGAGACACATCATCCTTTGTCATAAAATAGTCATGGAAAAAAGGAACCACCATCAATTCCAAGTCTAGCTAATTTTCATAAATAATGCCTGTTGAATACCAGTAATTCTGGTGGTTTCTTGCTAGAGTTAGTACAATATCTTAAATGCTGAAATATATAAAACTAACCATGACTGTAAAATGCAGCCAAAATAAGGAACTGGTGGTGGCGGGGGTAAGGGTAGTGGGGGGGTGTTGGGGGGGTGTTGGGGGGGGTTGGGGGGGTGTTTCTCATTGATTGGTAGAGCACCCTGGGTTCAATTCCCAGCGTCACACAAAAACAAACAAGCAAACAAAACAAAATAAGTCAAAAAAACCAAAACCAGCCAAAGTAGAAATGTTCTTTTCAACCCCGACTTCTTAATTCTGATTCATTTTAAGGTAACAATTTCATGTTAACATTCTCACTTTGGTTCCATTTCAAGCAGCACAACTCAGAACATGCTCGGCTGCAAGTTCCTACATCACAAGTAAGGTAATTTTTAAAAATTTTTAAATAATATGTCTTTCCCTATGGAAAATATCATATTTTATAGTCCTGAAGCTTACTATATACCTCTTTAAAAACACAGTGTGAATTTTCTAATGTCACAGACAAGGATCAAATTTTTTATGTTAATTATCTGAAGTATCTCAGAAGAATTTTTTTAAGACTATTTTCAGATAATTGCAGTTTAGGAAATAAGGTAGAGAAATCCTGTGTACTCTTCACCCAGTTTTCCCCACTGTTAACATTTGCCAAAGCTATAGTAAAATATTCTTGGTGCTCCTCACCTGTCAAACAAAAGATTTGTGATTTTGGAATGAATTCCGTGAACTCTCATGGACTTTTTTGGAGAAAATTTATAAAGCCAGAATCGACAAGACAAGAGATGGGCCAAGATTCCTTATTTGACACATAGTGCATGGGCATTTCAGCAGAGGTACCCTTATTTTTTCAGAGAAAGTTTTTTTTTTTAAAATATTTAAGTCTAATAAACCAGGACCATGTTTCCGTGTTAAATAACTTTCTCATGACAAGGGAAACCAATTCTAATTATAAAATATTTGCAAGTGACAAGAATAATCTCTGGGGTACTCAAAGGTCAGTTCTTCATCGATTCAAAGTACTGTGAAAACAAAAGGGACAACGATGTATAATTTGTATCAGATGTTCCCAAATTACTAGCATTTTTAATAGCCATCAAGTTTGCAACAGCTAAAAATATCCTTAAGGTCTATCTGCAGTGCTTTTACACCATCAGCTCACATCATAGACTCTGGGCTTTTAGATTTCAGTGGCCAAACTATATTTGTGTGAAAGAAAAAGCAATGATAACAGTTACAAGCAACTATTTTTAAAATTTTTGCAGAAGTCGATCATCCTCAAGAGGAGATGTGAATGATCAAGATGCAATCCAAGAGAAATTTTACCCACCACGGTTCATTCAAGTGCCAGAAAACATGTCAATTGAAGAAGGAAGATTCTGCAGAATGGATTTCAAAGTAAGAGAAGAGTTGAAAATACTGGGGAAGGGGGAAACTAACAATGTAATACTAAGTTTTGGAAAATATTTTCTTTCCATTTCATAGCCTGCTACACCACTTAAAAAGTACAATGGATGAGAACACAAATTCTGGAGCTGAACTGATCTGGTTTTGAATCTTGGCTCTGCATCTTTCCAGTGGTGTAAACTTAGACAAGGCATTTAACTTCTCTGGGGTCTTGCCTCCTTATCCATAAATTGGGAATAACAAATGTACCTATCTCATAAAGTTAAGAGGATGAACTAAGAACATAGGTGTACCTTATACCTAATAAATATACCAGTGCAGGTCTCTTAATATTAGGCTGTCTAACATATATGCATCCTTCTCCACCAAGAAATTGGAACCACCCAGCTTTCTCTGCCTGGAAGAACTCCTCAGGCTAGAACAACTCTTCAGAACAGACTGAATTTTTATTATCCTCATTTTGGAAAACTTTTTTCTTATAAGATGTCTTTCCAGAGTTATATAAAAACATTTAATGGACTGCCATTTATATACCAAACTAGAGTTCAAGAATGCTCTGCTTTCAACAGCTATTCATTAGACAAGCAAGGTTCAGATACGTGCCTCTGGCACTCCATTTGCTGCCATACTTATTCATAAAAGCCCTATGACTTACATATTCTTTGTGGAGACCAACATAACATGCTTTAATGCTCTAAATATGGTACATAAGAGAGATCTTAAAGAACCCGAGGCTGTACATGAACGAGTTAGGTGTGGTTTGAGATAATCTAAAAGTGATATGTTAATTTCAAGAGTTTTAGTTCCACTGTTTGTTTTTTAAAAATTATTAATACCTTTCTGAGCTCCTGCTTTGCATTTTCAATCACAAATGCAGATATCAAATTTGTTAAAATTCATAAATGAACAAATGGATCCCACCTATGCTATGCTTCAAAATCCTGGCATTTCCTGTGTTTTGTTTGTTCCTAGGTGAGTGGACTGCCGGCTCCTGATGTGTCATGGTACCTAAATGGAAGACCAGTTCAATCAGATGAATTGCACAAAATGATCGTGTCTGAGAAGGGTTTTCACTCTCTCATCTTTGAAGTGGTCAGAGCTTCAGATGCAGGGGCATATGCCTGTGTTGCCAAGAACAGAGCAGGAGAAGCCACCTTCACCGTGCAGCTGGATGTCCTTGGTAAGCCTCCAAGGAGAGCCTTAAAATACAACAGAATTAGAAAAGAAAAAGTCTTGTAAGGTATTTTAAGTGAAAATATTAAGAAAAGGCCAGCGGACTACATATTTATGGTTATATCTACAACCTAGTGAATGCCAACGACAACCAAAGACACTTGAGGGAACATCAGTGAACCTAACATGACAAATCTGCCACCAGAGCTTTTCTAGAAAGGAAATAAAGAAATTGCAGACAGAAAAAGAAAGATAATATTATATGCATTTCTAGCTATAATGATGCAAAGTAAAAAATTTTAATCTAATCATTTCTCTGGTCTACAGTCTAAAATGACCAACCTGACTTGTGTTTTTACAGACTTATCATAAGCTGTCAAGTTTTAAATGCATAGTTTAAAACTGAAGAGTGGATGTCAACTTTTAGCCTTATACTATGTTCTCTGCTAGGAAACTCATCTCTCATTATAATAAAACATGCTGACTTGTTTTAGAAATCAGGTATGACAAAATTCATGCCTCAGATTTGGTTTTGATAAGATTTCTTATAAAACTGGTGCTCAGTTTTTAAATTTTACAATCAAGCACTTTAAATATACTACATTTGTAGTGGTTTAAGCCATGATATCATTGTATGAGATGAATTTTGCCATACTTCACTGTTTATTATATAAACACCTTGATCAGGTTAAAGGACAGGCAATTTCAGTGAGTTTGTGTTCTACTTAGATCAATGAAAAAATGTTCTGTTATTTATTGAGGAGCCTCAATCAAAGATGACAACTAGGAATAAAACACATATACACATACACACACACACTTCAAGTGACTAAGCTTTGGGCAAATCCTATTTGGGCAAAATAGCTTGGAATACTACAATATTTGAACTCAAAGACACCTTGGCTGGTAATTGTCCAATTTCTTCATTTCACCGTCAGAAAAGCCTGAGTTACAGTATTGTACCATCTTTTCCTCTTCTCTTTCCTTTAGGTAACCGAAGTAAAGCAATAGTAACTGCTGATATTTGTCTATTATTTTTCAGTTTACAAAGTATCTTTTATTAATTATCTTAATTGTGTGTTAGGCACAGCAGTCACTACTGCTTTTTTTTTTTTAACAATAGATAAAACTGAGGCTAAGAGAAACTAGATAAAATGTTTCCAATGTTACATCACTTTTGAGGCCAATAGATATTTTTGGAGTTTGTTTGTTTGTTGTGCTGGAGATAAAATCCACAGCCTTGTAGAAGCTAGGCAAATGCTCTGCCACTGAGCCACACCTCCCCCAACTCAGGATTTGAATCCAAGTTGTGTGGTACTCCTTTCACCATTCATGCTGCCTCCCTGTGGATGAAATGACCTAAACCCTTTGAATGAAGCATAATTATAATTTAAATGAATCATTACATATAGTTTAAGAATTATGAACATCATAAAATGGTGATGTAGTTTATAATATTTTGCCTAAAACTCAAGAAAGTTTCCAACCTCGTCATTGCTTTTTAAAACTTCATTGTTAACATACAAGTTCCATAATATTCTGGTTTGACTTAATATAATTTTTATAATATTACAAATGCTTTTTTTATTAATATGTAGCAAAAGAACACAAAAGAGCACCAATGTTTATCTTCAAACCACAGAGCAAAAAAGTTTTTGAGGGAGAGTCCGTGAAACTGGAATGTCAGATCTCAGCCATCCCTCCACCAAAGCTTTTCTGGAAAAGGAATAATGAAATGGTACAATTCAACACTGACCGAATAAGGTAGGATATTTCTAGACTTTACTTCTAGCTTACTTGAATGAGTCCAGTTATATGTTAACATATATTACAAATGGTGTGCAATTATAAGCTCAATGTCTAATTTTTAAAATACACATAGAAATATAATCAAAGTTCATTAAGTCAGATTCTGCTAATTATAAACTTAAGGCATAAAGAAAGAGTCTAGGGTTTATCTTTTTCATTAACAGTAAGGATAAATGACAAAAACAAAATTAGGGGGGATAGTGTGTGTGTGTGTGTGTGTGTGTGTGTATGTGTGTTTGTGTATGTGTGTGTGTGTGGTGCTAGGTATAGACTGTAGGATCTTATGAGTGTAGGCAAGTGCTCTACCACTAACTATACCTCTACCCCAAGTTGGAATGTTTAATTCAAGAAAACCAATAGGTATTTGGCAATAACTAGACACAGCCTTGGAATTTTCAACTGCTTTTTCTCCTTAGTCTGAATCTGTAGTCAGAGGCATCGTGTAAACTTTCACAAGACATTAATTCCTATACTTTCATTTTTCTTCTCTTCAGCTTGTATCACGATAACACTGGAAGAGTCACATTACTGATAAAAGATGTAAACAAGAAAGATGCCGGGTGGTATACAGTGTCTGCAGTTAATGAGGCAGGAGTGACCACATGTAACACAAGATTGGATGTCACAGGTATGTCACTCTAGCAATCCAACTTAACCTGGGAGATTTAATAAGAAATGCAAATTCAGTATAGTGTAAAGCCTGAGTGATTTTCTCCATAATTGATTTTTTTTTCTTTCCCTGTCTGATAATGACAGTTATCTGAATCCAGTTTTCTGAATTAACTTTTATTGGCTCTCTTTTAGCCCGTCCAAACCAGACTGTCCCAGCTCCTAAGCAGCTGCGAGTTCGACCAACTTTCAGCAAATATTTAGCGCTTAATGGGAGAGGTTTGGATGTGAAACAAGCCTTTAACCCAGAAGGAGAATTTCAGCGCCTGGCAGCTCAATCTGGACTCTACGAAAGTGAAGAACTTTAATAACTCGAACCACATTGGAAAAACACAACTACACTATTAGCGATATATTTGACGATGTTTTTGAAATAAATCTATAGCTGTATTAACAGATTATGGCTTTAATTAGATAATATAACTAATATACATTTATAATATTACTTATCCTCTGACTCTTACACATTCTATTTCCTTGATTTGTGAAGCCCACAGTAAACTGGGTGTATGGATTTGTATTGTAGAAGACTATCTTAAAATGTGGGATCTTGACATTTAAATGACACACATTTAACAATGACAGGTTATGAATTAATAACATTTTAAACACATCTAATGCTTGCCGTAAGATTTACTGGTACTGCTTAATACATGTGGCTTTCCCTGTGTTCTCTTGTAGGAATACTAACATGGTATAGATTTCTGAGTGCTCCATAGTTTTATGTCAAAAGAGAATAAAATTCAAACAGTTAAAACAGACTGTCTGCTCTTCACAAAAGTCTAGATATTTATAGTTAAAACTCTGGTTTTATGTAGTAAGCAACACTCAGCAAAACTGATGAATAATCAGTTCCAAAAGGGCAACAATACTGTGTCCTGGAGCAGTGGGAAGCTATAGCTCCTCAGTTCCTCCTGAAACTGACATTCCATGGTTTATACTTCAAGGGCAACCACAGGAACTTTTGACACAGTCTCTCCTGAATTTGTGATTTTGTGCTAGACAAATAGGTCTCTAATTCTTCAAGATCTTTGAGTCCATTGAGTTCAATGGCATAAGAACACTCTATAAAGGTCATCTTTTAATTCTTATATTCAATGTAGAGTTGAATACCTATATTTGAATGCTTTTCCTCCCACAATTTTAAGTTCAAATAACCTGTTAAAGTATACAGTATAATTTTGTGAGTTTTTGAGAGTCCCAAAACAGGACTCTCAAAAAATAAAAGTACAAATCCTTTTATTAAGTTGTAAGATAGGACAGCAGCCTTTTCTTTGACATAGGCCACTAGTGCACAACCATGGGCCTCTCCTGTTTCTTTTATCAAAGATAGTGTTAGACCCTGGCTACTGTGTGGCCTAGTTTTGCTTTTTATCAACACTTAAAACAGCATTTGTCAACTTCACTCTCCACTTCTTTCAGGGAAAGGACAAAAGTGGCTTTATCCTTTACTTTCAAAACAACTTAGTGGTTTTCTTTTCAGACTACCCTAAGGTCTTTGGGCAAAATTCTATTTTATTTTCCTTTTCAATACCATAAGCATCCATCTTGTCTTATATCCTGGTGGCTTTTGGCTGCCTTAATTTATAGCCAAATTTGGTCTTTTCTAGAGTTTGTGTACAAACTGTCTCATCTTTGCAAAGCTTCCGGGGGCCTCGGTTCCCCAGGACCACTGCCTTGACCCATTCTTCTACATAATCACTGCAGGGTTTTGTTTTTGTTTTTATCCAATGTTTGGAGTTGGAGGAAGAGAAGTGGAAACTATTTCTAGAAACAACACTTGGCTCTTTACAACCAGTGTCTGCAAGTAGCAGGAGTAGTGAAGGGTCATGGCAAGGCACATGGGCTTTGCCTCCCGCAGGCTTTGCCTCAATTTTAGGTCAATTATTTAATCTCTTGGTCCCTCAGTTTCTTCAAGTCCTAAATGACGACAAAAATATCTATGTTTCAGGGAGATGGGTATGGAGACTAAACAAGGCAATAAATGTTGAAGGTATTCAAGAGAGAAAAGCCCATTATTATTAATTGCTAAGATTTTTTTCAAGCCCAAAGCCAGAAACCAGAGGGAGTTCCCTTTCTAGGGAGCTCTTTATGCATTCTCTAGCATCCATTTTGTTAGGCTGCACTGAGGGGCACCAGGGAAAACCCTGCCTGACATGCAGATTGAGTCCTGGCTAACTGTTGAGTGTGCTTAGGCCCCTCCAACAGCCCTTTCAACATCCTTTTCTCCTCTGGGGACAAGCACTCTTCTGCTGTCACCCTCTTTTCTTTCTTTCTTTCTTTTCTTTTTTTTTGGTGGTATGGAGTTTGATCTCAGGGCCTACACCTTGAGCCATTCCACTAGCCCTTTTTTGTGATTTTTTTTTTCGAGATGGGATCTCACGAACTCTTTGCCTGGGTTGGCTTAGAACTTCAATCCTCCTGATCCCTACCTCCTGAGTAGCTAGGATTACAGACGTGAGCTACTGGCGCCCAGCTTGTCACCCTCATTTACTTTATAAAATCTGCTTTCAGAAGAGTCCGAAATGTACTCATAAAGTATCACCTTGGCGAAGCATATTCATATATAAATAGGGAACAAACCTTAAGGCAAAGTTGGGACTGGACTGACTGACCAACTGTGGAACAATCTCCAGACCTGACTAATATTTGAAGAGAAAACTCTATATTTGCATGGAGTTGTACATTTGTAGCTATAGCAAAAGATTTTCCTTCACAAGAATCTGACTCTGTGGATGTGGGTGTTCTGTCTTTGTGCATATCTCTCTCCTCCATGTATGGCTTGGGTTTTTGTGCCTCTGTTTCTTTTCTCTTCATTTCCTTCTTTTTCTCTTTATTTTTTTCCTTTTATAGGCCATAATATATTGAAAATATTTGTTACTTATTAGTTTTATCAAGTATGCTAAGAGTGAAACAGCTGTCACTAATTTGGAGTAATAGCATCAACTATATATTTCATTATAATACTTATCACTCACAGGTGTGGTTTGGGGACATCCCCAAAATTGTCATGATGGAAACTTGGTCCCCAGTGCAGCAGTGTTGAGAGGTAGGACCTATGGGAAGTGATTGAGTCAGGAGGGCCCTGCTCTTACAAATAGATGAATCCATTCATGGAATAATGGGTTACTGTAGGAGTGGCTATTATAAAAGTAAGCTCTCTTTGGCATGCTCGCTCTGTCTCTATGATTACTGATGCAGCAAGCAGGACCTCTGCAGAAGCCAGCGCCATGCCCTTGGACTTTCCAGCCTCCAGAATCACAAGCTAAATAAACATCTATTCTTTCATAAATCACCCAGTCTGTGGTACTCAATTATAGCAACAGAAAACAGAGGAAGACAGTGACCTTGTGCTGTTTATTGGTTTCTCTCTCCCCATACCATTACCAATGGGTGGTCGCAAAAGACACTGGTTGTGAAGATCTCAGGTCCTTGGCATCCCAAACAAAGAATTAAATGGAGACACACAGATTGCAAAGAAGAAAGTACACTTCCCGGGGAAGGAGGGGTGGGGAGTGGGCTTTGAGGAAGGTGGCTCAAAAGCAGTACCTGTAGCTCAAGAGCACTTGTGCCCTGGTTGAATTAGTATTTATAGCAAGGGGAGGAGATTTAGGTGGTACTTAGGAATGGCGTTTGGTGCAGAGCACATGTGAATTCAGTGAACTGTAACAAGGGGGCCTTTGTGCACATGCTCCAGTTTGGGTCCAGCTAAAAATGCTATTTCAAAAGGCGGGTTTTATAGTGGTTTGGGGTGGAGCTAGATTACCTGTTCCTTGTGAGACAATCTGCAAGGAGACCACCCATTCCATGACCTGATTTGGGTACTTTCCTGCCTCAATAGGATATAAGCTCCCTGAGGGCTGGGCTTTGATCTCATTCTCTGCTGTATGCCAGTTCTCTAAGCTACCATTCAACACTCCCCCAGAGGACCTTCATGTACCCCACCCATTCCAAACCCACTTCCCTGTTCCCCTAAAAGGAACCACATCTGACTTTGTGGTCATCTCTTCCTTGCTTTCTTTATATTTCTATAACCTGTGATAGAAAAACACCATGGCTCAATTTGTCTTTTAAAAAATACATATTCCATGTCTGTTCTCATGTATCCCTGCATTACTTCCTTTGCTCTACAATTTAGTTCTGGAAGAAATGGGGTTGTTCAATTTGACTTATAGATTCTTCCACATCTAGGTTTTACCAATTGCACTTCCATACTACTTACCATGTTTTTTTGTTGTTTTTTGTTTTGTTTTGTTTTTTTGGCAGTGCTGGGGGTTGAACTCAGAGCCCCACACTTGCTAGGTTCTATCACTTGAGTCGCTTTGCCAGCTCTTTTTTATTGGTTATTTTCAAGAGAGGGTTTCACTTTATGCTTAGGCTTGAAGGGGCCAGATTACAATCCTCCTGTTTGTGCTTCCCTTCATAGTTGGGATGATAAGTGCATGCCACTGTGCTGAACCATTGATTGAGATGGGATCTCATGAACTTTTAGCCCTGGCTGGCCTACAACCATGTCTTCTGTGTTTTCTGTAAATAGGTAGTTGAATTTTAGGGCAATGCTCCTTTGCATGTGGCATATAGGAAATATGGGGTATCTGATTATCTTTCTCTCTGTGATGTTGGCAGCCATTGATCCATCTATTCATAAGAAGTTGCAAGGTGGTGATATTAAAAATTTAATCATTCTTTCCATAGTTAGTAAACAGCATTCTTCCATAGTGAGAAACTGCCCTTCAATTTCTATTTGCATATTTTATACTAGAAAGACAGAATCAATGCTTGGTGAAAATACATTTTCAACATTTTTCCTTTTTTGGCAGCACAGGGTTTTGAACTCAGGGCCTAAGTAGGGGCTCTTACCACTTGAGCTATTCCACCAGCCCCAAAATACATTTTTTGGATATAACAAATATACAAAAGAACACATAAAAATAAGAGAACTTAGCACAGACCTACAATGAAAGATCTATTAAAAGATGTCCTTCAGTTAGTAAACTCAGGGAGAAGAAACTAAATGCAAGAAAAAATGAGTATAGAAATTGATAAATTAAGTTGGTAAGCATAATTAACTATGAATTATAAAAATTGTAATATTTATTTAATGGGTAATAAAAGCATAGCTAACTTTGTGTCTTGCTCAGTAGAAAGGTAAAATGTTGCATAATTTGAGACTTTGTAGAAAAAAACATATGCGTGTTAAAAATATATAAATACAATCTGGGCATGGTGGTACATACCTGTAATCCCAGCTACTTGGGAAGATCACAAGTTCAAGACAAGCCTGGGCAAAGTTAGTGAGACCTTATTTCAAAAACAAAATACAAAGGAAAGGGCTTGGAGCATGCTCAGGTAATAAAGCATGAAGCCCTAGGTTCAATCCCCAGTATGACAAAAAGATACAATGTATAGTTTCAGATTAAAAAAAAAGGAAAATATAGAAAACTTCATCAGTCCTAAGAAAATAAATAAAAATGGTAGTAAAGAGAAGACTTCATTTAGATAGTGGAAATAAACCCAAGTATACCTGGATCACTACATGAGTTAATTAGAAAGAACTCATTTACCAAAAGATTAAAACCACCATTTCATTTATAAGTAAGCAAACAAATAAAACTGTAGCTCAAGAGGAGAAAATGTCCATGTATATATGTATGTTTAGTTAAAAGAGTAATGTGTTAGACTTTCATCATTGTGACAAATGTAAAACCATGTAAAAGAAGAAAGAATAGTTTTAGCTCAAAGTTTAGGAGCAAGGACGGCATGGTGGAGCACAGCAGGTCACATCATGGGGGCCAGAAAGCAAAGGGAGAGAGTGTCAGCACTAGCTGGCTTTCTCCTTTATCCCCTTTCATTCCATCCAGACCCTCAGACCCACATACATTCTTGGCAGGTCTTTCTCACTTCGTTAATCCTCACTGGAAACACCGTCACAGACACACACACCCAGAGGTGTGTTTTATTAATCTTCTAGCTTCTTTTCAACCCCATCGATTTAATCATGATGAACCATCGTGCCAGCAACGGTGGTACATGCCTGTAATCCTGGTTACCTGGGAGGCTAGATCAAGA